CTTACTAATACAAGAAACTAGTTCCTCCAGCAGAAAAAGCAATTATTGAGAGAATTCATCTTCACATATTTACAGAAGAAACCCACTCTGTGAGATGTTCTGAGAGTTTTCTGAGAATGATTTTCCGATATTGAGTCTCTCATGGCTTGTGCTTTAATCTGAGCAGCTTTTAGCTTGTTCAAGATTTTGTCTGTAGATGCTGATCTCTTCGTTTCCAGTTTCATCTGCATGGTGAATTGTTAGAAGAAGGTGTTAGTACAAGTAGCTACGGCTTTTGACTATCATTCAAAAGAAAAGGGAAAGAGGGATTGAACCCAACTGACTGTGTCATATGCTTTAGCACATTAGTTTTTCACATCTATACCGGCCTTCTACGCAATTTTACAAAATCTAAATTCATTCACAATATTTGGTCGATGATGGATGTGTGCAAGTGTGTGAGATGGAAAGAGAACGAGAAATGTAACTTTAAATCCCTAGGCAGGCTTGGTAAGCAGTAGTGCGCAGTACAATGTGCAAGATTTCAACTTAGTTTTCTTCTTTAATATTATTCAGTACTCTCCACTCTTTCAATACAAAATATATGAATATGAAAAAACTCTTTTGATTAAATGTCTTGGTGATATTATTCAAACCTCCAGTTTTCGAATTGCAGCCTCAGCTTTTGCCTTCTGCAAGTTCTCCCAAGCAGTGATCTTGGCTTCCTCTCTTTGCAGCCTGCACAAAAACACAGAAGATAAACACATCCATGACATCTCCTACGCCCACAGGTTGTCTTGTTGCCACACATTTATGAAAATTGTGCACTTGGCTGGCCTTAAATCAATTTTTCAACAGATGAGAAACATTTACAACTCTTGGAAGGGTACTGAAAAACAATTAACAAGTCTATTTCCTAAGAGATGTTACACATACATAAGGGTGTACACCCAGGTTCCATTCCCTCATACGATTTATTGTGCGAGGGTCCCCCTCCATGTGAGGGTGGTGTAAACCCAGGTGTATACTCGGGGTGACAAGTATCATTTCCCTTTATATTATACATGAATAATGCTACTTGTACATAATGGAGTTATATAATGGTTTACATAAGAATGAGGTGTCAAAAAAAGTGGAGATTTTTTTTTTTTTATTTGGTTGAAGAAATTCTGATCCAATCATAGTACGTAAATCATTATATACATGTAGTACAATCGTAAAAACAAGAACAATGGATGTACCTTGATGCCTCTGAAACATCCCGTGGCGAACATAAACTTTTAATACTCGGCAAGCCTTTTTTCATCATTTGTTTCATGGGCTGCCTGGCTATAGTGGTGGCTTCGTCTACCTGGACGTCCCTAACTCCATCTCGAGCAGAATGATTGATGTGAGGCTCCAGTGAAGTAGGGACGGAGGAAGGGAACACAGAGAATGACAGGCTTCCTTTGGGAGACGAATCTGTGCTGTCTATGGGACTCATTTGAGTTGCCATATCCCTACGTGAAACAACCCGTGAAACAATTGTTTCTTCCTCCTTGGTGCCATCAAGTTTATCATCTGTCATTTCAATTCAAAGCAGCAAACATGTATTAAGCATAAAATGTATTGTCATAGTAGAGAAAAATTCAAGTCTGAAGAAACGAAAAGCCTCAATATCATATGAATTAAGAGTTACAGGAGACTAGCATAACAGAAACTCGAACAACGCCTTTAGAATTGACAAATTCCAAAATATATTGATACAATTCTACTATTTGTACAGAGAGACAGACCGATATTCCATTTCCAGGAAGGAATTTATCATACAGTTACATTTTCACAAATCAAGTCTACCTTCTAAGCCAGTTTAGATAACATGCACAAGTAAATAATCAGAAGGGATGACAACTTTTAGCCCTCTAGTTAGTCATCAGTGCTTGAAAATCCAATTCAATTATCCTGATGAACTAGCACTTAACTACTTACAGGGGCCTGAAAGAGAACATAATTTTTATACCTTGTGAGCTCGACAATGAAGAATCACTAAGCATGTCCAAAAAGCCAGGCATACTAGTGGATCGAGCCATACTATTCAAACGATAAGCATAGCTCGACTTTAGAGCAATGTCATCACCATAACCAATGGATAAACCCTGAGGCACCAAAACTCCAGTCATAAGTGGCGAACTGGACATCAAATTCCTCACACTCCCACCTTTAAGAACAGGTACCGTAGGAGAATAGTCAGATAAGTTCACCAGTCCGGTAGTGCCTAAGGGGCCACTGTTAGACTCAAGCAGCCTTTTAGGCTGCATAAATGAAGCCCTGCGCGCACCATACCCTGAGACTGGACTCGTAATCCATCTCTCAGCATCATCCCATTTCGATGGCAAAGTCCTTCCAACACTCACTGGCATCAATGCAGAGGCACTAATGTGCGGCCTATAGATTCTATTCGTGGGCAATGGCACTCGTTCTGAACTCCAACCCCTCGGAATCCCCTCCTCAGTGTCACCATACTCTGGACTTCCCACACTAGTATAAGGACCTGAATTTCTCAACCGCAAAATATTCTTCTTCATCACTCTCAACTGAAGCCAAATTTAGGCCACATTGCTTACTTTATTCTCCAAATTGGGTTCAGATTTAATGATAAATAGAGTATTAATCTCAAATTCTTGAAGAGGAAAAACCCAAACAACTCCAAATGGCCAACTGTAAGACTACATTTACAGATATATACTAAAGTTTTTTACTCTGACTAAACAAAATATGCTTGCTTAGAATGGGAAATTTCACCGTCATGTAGTCAGTAGTCTGAAAACTTTATGGGTATGAAGTCTGGACCACAGGACGGTCCGTGAATTTTACTATCAGATACAGTATCAAACACCAGATCATCAAACCCAATTTTTTCTATTTTCACGTAAAATTCCATCATTTCTTTGTCAATAAGGACAGATCATTGTCTCCTTCCCCAAAATAATCCCTTGTTACCAGCTGCTTACGCACAGACAGATTCATATGGGACGAAGTAACGGGCAGTGGGCAATAAAAGATTTCTGTTTTTAGTGAATTAACCTTTCATTAGGTCAGACCAAAACCATGGGGTCCCTTTGAGACAGTGAGAGTTTGGAGTCTACAGAAATTTTACAACTCGAGAATGTTTAATCCAATCTTTTATAGCACATTTGATACGTTGAATGAATGAAATAATTAACCAACATTAACGTTGGTGCACTCACTTCTCCATTGCATTCTTGGACTGGGACCAAACAATTTGTTCATTGTCATCCTCTTTACAAATTAACCAAATATATTAATGGTCCATTTGACATGATTTTTGAAAAGTCGAAAAGAATTTTTGCAAATCAAGAAGCCACTTTTGAACTCGTTCAGTTAATTTTATGAAATTGCTTATTTTGGTCCAATTAAAAGAACTTTTAGATAGAGTCGATCCAATATTATTTTCTCTAAAACCACTTTTGAAATAGGTAAGCTTTTAAATAGTTTTCAAACAAAAATTAAAATAATTTCCTCGAAAAACTCTTTTACAAGAAGTAAAAGTAGAAACAAAAATTATGCCAAACGCGCCATTCTTTATTTTCTTTCTTATTCAACAAATTTCGCAAATCAATACGGACCTTGCCCCATCAATTGTGAATAAACTTAGTTCGAGTTTGACAACCATTATTTCAAAAAAAATTCATTCTTATACTCATTTTTAATCACATATTTACACGATAAAAATATTTTTCAGATAAACAAAAAAAAAAAATCATACTTTTTAATCACATATTCTTTAAAAAATCACTATTCAAAAGTTTGCACACATCATTTTATAATATATATGACAAAAAATAACATTATACGGACTACAATTTGTAATATGGTAGCAAATAATAACTCTTGCCATTAGATATTTAAATACTCGAAATAAAAATAACAAGTCACGCCCATTACATTATGTAACACTTTACATATCAAATTTTTGAACTTTTTTTTTTTTTCGTTCTCTACAAGCTCAGTTATTATCTCATTCTCGTCTAATTAATTTCTTTCGTCCTTATTTTATCCCTTCATAAATTAACATTCAGACGAGTATTTGACAGCGTGATTCCTATATGAGATATTGAACCTACAATGGAGGTTTTCCTTTGTTCCTCATTAGAGAAATAGCAAAGTTTTAATCTAAACTCTACACAAATCTTCTAAATTCTACAGAGATGACATAATTTTAAACATGTGGTCTAAGAAATAGCAAAATTGCTACAATCTTAAATTAAGAAGTGATTAATTTTTAGCTGCAAAATAACAACTAATTTTTTTTAAAAAATAATACTTTAATTGATTATTTTTAAGTTTTATTCCTTGAATAAAAAAATAATTAGAAGACAGCAATTAAGAATTTTTATTTGTTTTTACCATTGTTTAAAATAAGATGCGTGGAGGCCAAGCCCAGGACTAGGCGAGGCATATGCGTTAAAAAGCGTAAAAAGCCGTTTTCTTATTTTAATATTATTTTAATTTTTAATCAGTTAAAAATAATACTTACTGTTTCGCGGGTAGTCACTAACAATTAAAAGGAAATTTAGATGATTGTGTAAAGAACAAATCTCTTAAGACAAAGTCCCAAAAATGGGTGCTTTATTGCTGAGAGTTACAATTGAAACTAAACAGAATGCATTTAAGGGGCGCAAGCACATGAGTATTGAAAGAAGGATAATTAAAGTTAATCTAAAAAATTGAAATTATATATTCTCTGTTTAAGAGTGTTTGATTCGGGGTCTTTTCCTTTATGTCTATTCTTACCTTTTATATTTCCATGATGATTTCTGCGTGACAAACTGCTTGGAAACTACTACCTATTTTCTTCATAGTGCCTAATTTGTCGTAGAACTGTCATCCCTAACCGTTGCATTACTCCTCGTTGTTCAACTGCCTTCAAATGGACTTCTTAAATCGTGGAATGTGATAATCAGTTCGATAACTGTCTCAGTAATTGCTACTCTAGATGATCATAATATCTTACATATTAGGATTCTGGGCGACTCGAAGGTTTGGGCAAAAACGAGGTTGTCGCGCTGAGCGACAGTGAGGCACTCCATTTGTCCAAACTATGGGCTTCATGCAGGCTTGGGCGATGATGTTACTGCGTTCGTGGGTTCCCTCTGCACTTACCAATAACCTCATTTGGGCCTTTGTTCTGGACCTTCAATTGGGCTTCATTCTTTGGACTATCCAATTTAGGCTGTATTTTTAGTGTGTCAACAATTACCCCCCAATATGGCAGATTTAATACCAAGTATTAACTTATGTCATATTCACCTTGTATTTCTTAGGCAATATTTGAAATTCCCAAGAATTTCAATCATCATTTCTTTTCAGCTTTAAAAAAAATGCAACGTTACAAACCCTTATAGATCCAAAAGACGCGCTATTGCATCGCACCACTAAACCACGTTCCTGTATTTCACGCTTCTTCCCCGCTATTTTACTGTTCATCTTCTTGCTTCTCTGCTACGTTTCAACCTTAACACAACTGCACTTTGCACTTAATAGCGTCTTCACAAATTCGGATGCTTTTAGTTTCGAAGATTTTCGGAATATCCTTACTAGGCTATATGTAGATGCAAATTTCCTCGCACCAGCCAATGCTGACTTCAATGAATTCTATTTGGGTCCGTCATTCAATAATACCGAAGCCATTGAACCAGTGGCGATGGGCCAGTTGTTTCCTTGGACCGAGGACCTTCCATTTCTGAACTCTTTGCCATGAAGCTAATCCACGATAAAAGTTTTCATACTTGGCCAAAACCTGATCCTAATTTTCGTAGATGGAATGCACGTATGATGAATCATGGTCCCACCAAAGTAATTTTTGATCGTGCTAAGATTTTGGACTTGTTAGAAATTACCCTTTCTCCCCTGACTTATGACTCGGTGCTCTTCCTAGTCGCCCTGAATTTCTGGTCCTATAAGTACAATACTTTTATCTTTCCTCTTAGCCCAATGTCTAATACTCTAAGGGATGTTGGAGCCTTAGTAAATCTTCCGCATTTGGGCGATACTATCTTTCATGGTATTTTGATTTCCAGTGTTGCTCCTCAATTTGACAGAAGGTTGCTGAATCTTATTCAAGCATGCAGGGCCTTTATACTGCTTCCAATTCTGAGCCTACCCATGCTGAGTGTGTTGCTTTCCTTCAGGTCTGGCTCTGTAAATACATTCTTTGTTTTCTCAGCCTGAAACCCTCTTTGAGTTATCTGCCCATGTCGCATGAATTAGCACGTGGTGGACCTTTGAATTTGTGCTCATTCTTTTTGGCCGCCTTTTATAGAGGCATGGCTTCCCTTCAATTTCAATTGAGGAATTATGCATCTCCTACTGGTAGCGGGCCCCTTTGGCTTGCTCAATTGTGGTTGAGAGCCTATTTTCCACAACTTGGTGCTCCACCGTCTCCTCCTTGAATAGTTAGCTATAATAGGCTATTCATTCATCAAATGAATCCTTTAAATATGTCCAGTAGGGACATTTTTACATTCTTTTATACTTTGAATTCAACGCCTTCTTTCTTTCCCTTTTCTCCACATCAAATTCCTTTATGCGTACAGCCTCCTCATACTTTAGCCGAAGTGAGCACCTTTTTACCCATTTGGGTTCAAGTGTTGGTTGGAAGAGAATTGTTCCATGACATTGTCACATGAACAAATGCTAAAGTAGGGGTTGAGATATATGCTCTCCAATTTTTTGCTCGCCAACTTGGTTTCGGCCAGTCATGGCCTGTTCCTCCTTATTATTCTAAAAGCTTGATAGAGCGTTTCCATACTATCAGCAAAACTGAAGCGCAAGCCATTGACATCCGTAATAACCATTTGGCCGAAAGTTTCTCTTTATCCCCTTTCAGTTCTACGACTGTTACACATTCTCTTTTTGAATAGCTTTGGCCATAGTGAAACGTAGACTATTTGCAACTGATGCTAATCGCGCCTTCCATTTACTGGATCGGTCAAACACTTCATCTGCCTCTCTTGTTTTGGCCGTCCCTGTGTCCATTAGGAATCCTTCCTTACCAGCTCACGTTAAACGTTCTATTCCTCCGTCTTTTTCTCCTCCTGCCAAGACCACTACAACCAAAGGCACCTCCAGCCGCAAACGGTCAGCCTCAGCATCCCCCATTTTGCAAGATGATGATGATGATGATGATGATACTCCTCTCATCCTTAGGAGAGAGGTAACTGAATTTGTTTATTCACAAACATACTTCTTTATGTACTAATGGTTTACCTGAATTCCTCAGAAGAGTTCAGCCTCACCTTCGAAGGCTCTAGTTTTGGCAGCTCCTGCTTCGTCGCCCTCTGCAGAGGTTGCTTCATCCAAATCAGCTGATGAAGGGACTATGCTCAAAGATAAACTCCTAGTCCCAAAATCTTCATTGCAACCAGCAACAAGGTCACGACTAGTAGAAAAATCACCTATTTTCCAAACTGTCGACCCCCCAAATGTTGAACCGGAAGGTAATACACATTCTAATGTTTTACCTTTGCTTGTACTTCTGATTTTTATTCGTTGTTTTCTCGAA